AAGAGTTAATGAAAGATCACATAAGCCGGGCCAGAGCTTTCGAGAATGAACGACAATATCTGTTCTAAAACTAGTGACACTTCCCTCACTCCTGATACTCCTCTCACATTGCCCGCTACCCACCTTATCAGAGGGTGAGGTGACCTTGTCCGTCCCTCCTCTAGCCCAGCCTCCCCCGAGAACCAGCCCTGTCCACAGACAGACAGACAGACGGACGCTCCTGCCTTCTGTCCCCACAGGGCACGTGTGTGGGGCTCAGGAACCGTCACTCACCTGTGGGTCGTTACCTGTAGGTGTGAAATGAGGGAAACCACAAGGATGTGGGAGTCAAGTCAGCTTTGACCTTCAAAGTAACTAATTGCTAGTTGGGTGATCATAGATGAGCAAATAAACACAAACTTCAGAGCGTAATTGTTCTAGTGTCACTATAGCTATTTATGTTTACAACTAGAGCCTGGTGCACGGATTTGTGCACTGGTGGGGGGCGTGGCCTTGGGGGATCAGCCCACCGTGGGAACACTGCTCATCCAGGTCAACCGAGCGGCTGTGGACCTGCCCTCTGAGCAGCTGCTCCCCCTGTGGGAGCGCACTGACCACCAGGGAGACAGCTCCTGTGTTGAGCATCTGCCCCCTGGTGGTCAGTGCACATCATAGCGACTAGTCGACCGGTCGTTCTGGTCATTTCGCCATTTGGTCGCTGGGCTTTTATATATATAGCGTCCTAGTACTATTGTATCTACATCTGTGTACAATACTGTACTTGTGTTATTGTATCTACTTGTGTGTACAATTGTATTTTTGTAATGCCGAGATTAAGGGACATTTCATAGGGAGCATAGTAACTGCTCAAAAGTTATTATACAGGTATTCCCACCTCTTTCCAACATCATGAATACGAAAATTTTATCTATTTTATTATATATTTACTATGTGATGCTGAAAAGAAAACTGGAAAAACCTAAAATTGCAGACTCTGCAGAAGTTAGTATCGCCCACGCCTCCCGTCTTGTTTGGATAACTCATCATTAGTTTCACTCTTTTCTCAACGTGGTAGAGATGCTGTTTTGACACCAGTATTGTGGGGGCTGGGGGGGGGGGGCGGATGCAAATGGGCGAGCAATTCATGATTCTGCAAAACGTTCCTGGTGTTTCCTCTTCAGTATTTACTCAGAGAGGCCGATGTCCACCCTGCTCCACTGGGAAATGAAACTGCTGCCCAGACAGACAGACAGACGGACCACAGTCTGGCGGAGGCGAAGGGGCGAGGCTCCCACGGGGGGGGGGGGGAGAAGGGGGGGTCGCAGGCCCTGCCCACCCACCTGCTGGGTTCTCCTCCCCGTCACACCTCCTCAGGGGGAGCCAGGCTCCCGTCCGCCGGCCCCTGCCTCGCCCGGGGTGTCTCCATCAGAACCGCGTGGCCTCACGTGTGGGTTTTGCATCCTTGACAGCTGAACGCAGTCCCCTCCCCTCTTTCCAGGACACGTTCACTGAGTCACTTCCTGGGCCCCACACGCCCTGGAAGCCACAATCCTCCTCCCGGGCCGGCTCCTCTCTCGTGGGGCTGGGAACACACAGGAGACCCGGTCCAACCTCAACCTTAACCAACAACTAACCGTTCAGGACCAGCACGTCCCAGACGGCTCACCAGATGGTCTACACTCGGGGTCCTTTATGTGGAACCAGAGGGATGGGCCCCGGGGTTACTTATTGCAGCGCAGCGCCACCTGGTGGTCAGCGGTGCTACGGGGTGCTGGCTCCCGGAGCCCAGAACCCTGTCCTCTCCCCCAAGGCCCAGCTCTGAGCCCTACACACCCCAGACACCCGGCTCTGAGCCCTAAACCTCCCGGACACCCCGCTCTGAGCCCTACATACCCCAGACACCCGGCTCTGAGCCCTACACACCCCGGACACCCCGCTCTGAGCCCTACACCTCCCGGACACCCCGCTCTGAGCCCTACACACCCCAGACACCCCGCCCTGAGCCCTACACACCCCGGACACCCCGCCCTGAGCCCAACACACCCCAGACACCCCGCTCTGAGCCCTAAACCTCCCGGACACCCCGCTCTGAGCCCTACATACCCCAGACACCCGGCTCTGAGCCCTACACACCCCCAGACACCCCGCTCTGAGCCCTAAACACCCCCAGACACCCCGCTCTGAGCCCTACACACCCCGGGAGCAGGAGCAGGAGCAGGAGCAGGACGGGGTGTGTAGGACTCGCTCCTTCCTTCCTTCCCTCGTGAGCGAAGGGCTGTGAGGCTCGGCCGGGCCCTGGGTCCTGAAGGCACAGCTTTAAAGGAGCCACAGCCACTGTCGCCCGGACTCCCCGCTCACGGGAAGCCAGGCAGGTCCCGGAGGGTGAGGCGGGCGAGGCGGGCGGCAGGGCAGGCACAGCGGCCGCGGGCAGCAGGGAGCGATGGCTCCATGTGGCCATCAGGCACCAGGGACAGTCACACCCACGCCCTGTGCCCACCAGGCGCTCAGTCAGCCGTGGTGGCGGCGAGAACAGTGTGAGCAGCGCCCAGTGTCACCGGCTCTGACGCTTCACGAAGGAATCGAACCCGCCTGTGGGTCCCGGGTGCTCTGCCCCGCGGACGCCGTCCTGCGGGCTCGGCCTCCTGCGGACAGCCTTTCCGGGTCAGGCGAAGGCTCGGTCCTCTCACCCCCGCGTCCCTCGGGTCGGTCGGTCGGTCGGTCGGTCGGTCCCTCCTTCCTGGGATCAGAGCTGCGCTCGCCCCCTCCCCCCACAGGCTCTCAGCCCCCAGTTCTCGTTCCCTGCTCCCCTCCACCCTCCGTCCCACTGAAATGAAATGACTCCGATTCCACCCGCCCTCGCCCTGCGTTTCCGAGAGAAGCCGCCTCGCTGTACGGCCGCGATGCCAACGCCTGGGCTCCGGCCAGAACGTGCAAACGGGAAAACCCACCCTCTCGTTAGAGGGCGGGGTGAGGGCAGGGCTCCGGGTGCGACCGTCACACGCGTGCCTCCCAGCCGGCGTCCCTCCCGCTGACCAGCCGTCCGCTCCCAGTTCTCTGTGCCTGGCGCTCAGCGGGCCCGGGAGCTGCTGACGGGCCGTCACCTGGTTCTGGTTACACTCCCGCCGCCGTGGCGAGGGCAGGGCTGACCAGGGGGCCGGCAGCCGCTCTCTGTGCCGAGCAAAGACGGCCTTTGAGCACCGCACACAGTGTGTGACGTCAATTCTGTGGCCAACGGGCTGGGCCCCAAAGAGCCCGAATCCCTGGTCAGACGTTGTCCTGGTGCTTCTATGGGAGGGGGATGGGGGTTCTAGGTGAGAGAGGATTTAGATCGGGGACTGAGCCCAGCAGGGAGCCCTCCTGACCCTCCCAGGCGCCCAGTGAGACCAGCTCCTCGGCCTCAGCGGGAAGGACACTCCGTCGGGGACTCCGGCCTCCGGACCCCCCTGAACACCTTGGAGACCAGCCTTCGTAGCCCCGTGAGCACCGGCCTGTGATGGGCAGAGACCCTCTGTTCCTCCGAGAGCCTGACTGAGGGCGTCGTGGGGACAAGGCCTCGGGAACCTGCCGGGAGGAGGGACCTGCCCTCGCTTTGCTCCATAAACCTCAGAACCAGGGGCGGCCCCTCCCCAGTGACTAGCGGAGCGCGGGGTGCGGGGCAGCGGGTTGCAGTCCTCCCCCCCCACCCCCGCCTCGGTCTCCCTCCCACACGACAGGAGGGAGGAGGGATCGGGCAGCAGGTGAGCTAAGACACCTGTGACCAGAAAGGGGGAAAACCTAAGGCCGTGCAGCCCCCCTCGACGGCGACCAGCGGGTGCGGACAAAGCGGCCGAGCACAGACGGCTCACTTATCTCCCAGCGCTCCCGCGAGACAGCGGCTCAGAGGAAGCCGTGTGTCATCTGGTCTCTCAGGAGATCAGGACTGTCCCTGTTGGCAGGATAATTGGGTTTGAATTGACTTTTTTTTTTTTAATCCTCACCTGAGGATACTTTTCCACTGATTTTCAGAGAGAGTGGAAGGGAGAGGGAGAGACAGAGAAACATCGATGTGAGAGAAACACATCGACTGGTCGCCTCCTGGACGCACCCTGACCAGGGCCCGGGCCGGGGAGGAGCCTGCAACCAAGATACGTGCCCTTGACCGGAATCGAACCCAGAACCCTTCAGTCCGCAGGCTGGCGCTCTATCCACTGAGCCACACGGGCCAGGGCAAAAGAGCTTCTTCATATTAAGCTAAGAAACCCGTGCAGGATGCGTGGACAGTCACATGTTTTATTAGATACAAGGCATCACTTTACAGCCTCTGTAAATGCAAGGTAAGCCTGAAAGCAAGATATGATGGTCCAATTCTGTGTTGACACGGCAGACACCAACATGACTTTGCTAAATGTAAAGTGATTTCAGTGGATCCGATGGTGAGAGAGGATTTAGATCAGGGACTGAGCACAGCAGGGAGCCCTCCTGACCCTCCCAGAATCTGATGGTCACCGTGGGACGGACGGCGTTGGCTGTGATGGTTCTTAATTCCAGCAAAGCCCTTGTTGGCGTCACAAAGCATCTCGGGGTTAAACCCACAGCAGGAGAGTCCTGTGGCCGGGGGAGCTCTGCTGATTTCAGATTCGGAAGGGAGAGGCAGCGAGAGACAGAAGCATCCACGATGAGAGAGAATCATGGACCGGCTGCCTCCTGCACGCCCCCCACTGGGGATCACAACCCGGGCCTGTGCCCTGACCGGGACGGAACCGCGACTCCTGGTTCCTAGGGCGACGCTCCACCGTGAGCCACACGGCCGGGCCACCGTATTATTTCCAGCGGCTCCGCCCTGTGCGTTTCTGGGAAATCCCGTCAGACATTCGCGCTCAGATGAGCTCAGGCCCGCGCTGCTCGCTGCGAAGCCGCGTCTCTCCAGGAAAGGGGTTTGCTGCTCGCGGGCACCTGCAGCCCCAACTCAGCACGGATTCGGACGAGCGTCCGCGACTGGACTCCGAGCACGCGGTCGGGGAAGGAAGGGCCGGAGGCAGCGGGCAGTTTTGATCGCGTTTAATGAAAAAGAAGTTACATGAATGAAATGGACATAAAACAAAGAGATCACGTTGGGGAAGATGGTGATAAGTAGAACAGGAAACTCGTGTTAAGCCTGAATTTACTCATATATTTCCATTCGTTATTACTGACCCCAACGCCTTTTAAATCCAAACAGAGCAATGGTCGTCATTTGTCTGATGTTTTCCTGAGAACTCCCCAAAATGATGTCTAAACCATCCCCTTCCGTCTCCTGGGGCCCCCAGAACACACTCGAGGGGACACGTTCCCCGGGGGCCAGCGCGGGGTGAAGACACGCGCCTTTATCTGCTCTTCTCACGCCCGCAGCAGGTCGGCACTGCCAACGCGCTTCGGGCACAAACCCGCCTCTGCTAACGTTTTCAGGAGGAAGCTTCGACTACGCGACCGTTTATTCCGGGTCCAATCCTCGCACAGGGACTGACTGACTGACATGAGCACGTCGGAGAGGCCTCTGCTTGGCGCTCAGGGGAGATGTTAACGACGTGAGACCTAAAAACATGCAGGCGAACGGCAGCGAGCACCTGGCTGGCCTGTCTCATGGCTTAATCCTGTTCAAGATTCTTAGGGAGCCTGTCAATACTCTGTCTCGGTCCTAGCTTCTAAATGAGGAGAAATATCTTCTAAATGGGAACAAATCGTGAAACACGCGGGGCAGTAGGTTTGCTCTCGTTGTCTTATTTAACGTGAAATCTCCCTCCCGTCGGGCCAGACCTCGCCGGGCCCAGCTCAGAGAGACGGCAGCATGTGGGTGACCAGGAGGGGTGATGGGTTCACCATCCCTCGTGGGGGGGGGGGGGGGGGCCGGGCCAGGGGGAGGACCTGCGCTAGGACGAGCCCTGCCGCTTCTGGTACTGGATGCGGAGTTTCTCCAGCTGCTCCACGCACTGGGACTGCGCCAGCTTCAAGGTGCGGTTCTCCTCCGTCAGCGCCTCGAACTCGCGGGCCAGCTGGGCGGCATCCCCCTTCTCCTCCTCCGCCTGCGCCAGCTTGGCAAGGAGCTCCTTCCTGCAGGCGGAGCGGGAGAGCGCACACTGAAATGCACGCACGTAAACGCACGCGCACAAATCACCTATGTACATGCACAAATGCACGCACGTAAATGCACAGAGGAGTTCCCTCCTCACATCCCACCCTCTGCCCGGCCCTCCAGCCTCCCCAGCCTCAGATCCTTTACTTTTTATATATTTTTTAATTGATTTTTTGGAGAGAGAGGAAGGGAGAAGGATACAAAGATAGAAACATCGATGAGAGAGACATCATCAGTCAGCTGCCTCCTGCACGCCCCCCTCAGGGGATCAAGCCTGCAACCTGGGCAGGTGCCCTGACCAGGAATCGAACTGGGAATCAAACCGGGAATTGAACCAGGAATCGAACCGGTGGCCTCGTGGTTCCTGGCTCAATGCTCAACCGCTGAGCTACACCGGCCAGGCCCAGGCCTCAGATCCTTTAGGTCCTGGCACCTCTGCTGAGACACCCAAACCAGTGAACATCTGCCGGAAAACGCGGAGAAGCTGACCTTTCTAAGGGCAACAGGAATGACAGCTAGTTTGGGGGAAGCCAGGAAACCTGCTTACGATTGAAGATGCTGCCAGTGCCCACGGGTGGAGAGCTGTGCTTTATCCTTAGCTCGTCTTCCCTCCAAATGCAGTTACCGTCCTTGTCTCTTATTTCTGAGCTGAACAAATCGGCACTAGTTCTTCGGACTAAGAATTCCACCCCCCCTGGCAGCTTCCCCTGATCCTGACGTCCATCCTGCAGCCTGACTTACAAAACAATGTCCTTTTTTTTAAAGGGGAGAATGATGATTTTTTTAAAAATATATTTTATTGATTTCTTACAGAGAGGAAGGGAGAGGGATAGAGAGTTAGAAACATCGATGAGAGAGAAACATCAATCAGCTGCCTCCTGCACACTCCCTACTGGGGATGTGGCCGCAACCAAGGTACATGCCCTTGACCGGAATCGAACCCGGGACCTTTCAGTCCACAGGCCGATGCTCTATCCACTGACCCACACTGGTCAGGGCCAAAACAACGTCCTTTTACTGCAGGCGGAGGACTCAGGAAGCAGCTCCAGGTACTGGAGGGGCAAACAACTCGGTTCTCAGTGAGCACCTGCACACAACGCAGGGGCCGGCCGCGGGCTCAGCGGTTGAGCGTCGACCTATGAACCTGGAGGTCATGGTGTGATTCCGGTCAGGGCACAGGCCTGGGTGGCGGGCTCGATCCCCCGTGCGGGGCGTGCAGGAGGCAGCGATCAGTGATTCTCTCTCATCATGGATGTTTCTCTCTCTCCCTCTCCCTTCCTCTCTGAAATCAGTAAGAATATATTTAAAAATTTTAAAAATGTATTGATGTAAATACGCACGAAAAGGAGCCCCAGACTCACGTCCACGTTTAGGTTTAATAAACCTGACCACCCACAGCAGGTCCACTGCCTCAGGTGGGTCAGGGAGTCCCAGACAGCAGTCTCCGTCCCTCACTGTGCGACATGCCCATTCCTCCCTTTCCTGGGGGGGGGGGGGGCGGGGTGCAGAGAGACCTGGGCAGGGCACCGGCAAGGAGGGGCGTGGAGAGCACCCCGGGGTGTCAGCAACAACCTCAGGCGAGAGGAAGTGTGCCCGGTGCCGGCCTGTGCTCTTCAAGGTTAAGCACATACAGTATTTGAAGGAACTAAAGAGAAGTGACAACTAAACGCACTGGAAAGAACCGCGGGGAGGGCCGCGCTGGGCCAGGAGGCGAGTGAGCTGGACTCAGTCAGATGGCACACGGCGCGCCCAGTGCGAGATCCTCGTTTAACGCTGGGCTGTGGCTAAGGGGCGCCCTTGTTCTTAGAAATGGCTCCTGAGGTGTTGAGGGCAACGGATCGTGACATACACCCAGGGCATGGGAAGGCGGCCGGGAACGGGGGGCAGAGAGGCATGGGAAGGCGGCTGGGAACGGGGGGGGGGGGGGGGGGGGGGGGGTAAAGGGGGCGGGAACGCGGACGGGGGGGGGGGTGGGACGCAGACACACGGTCCCTGTGCTATGATCTGAGTCTTCCACGGTGTTTGGAATGTCAAGGCTCCCAGTAAATGCTCGCTGAATGAATGCCCGAAGAGTCAGGCGCCTCAGGGACAAAGACCGTATATTTTAAAGATGAGGAAGGAGAAATGCAAAGCACTGCATTTAACTGAACAAGTCATGCGGCTACTACGGAAGAGCCGGCATCGACGTCTTCTCCTTCTTAGATGTCGCAATGAAATCTCAGGCAAGTTTCTTGTGGACGATCGTAGAGAAAAGGGTCAGTACAGCCTGGGACAGACGGTCAATGATATGTAGCAACTGTGGGTGGTGCCAGTGGGTCTGGAAGTATCGGGGTCCCTCTGTAAGGAACATGATCGTCCAGCCCCCTGGACCCCAACCTTCTTCTGGCCACGCCCCCCTCAGCATCTCTAACATCCTGATGCCCTCCCCCCCCCCCCCCCCCGACATAGAATCCTTATTGTTCAAAAAGGGACTCCTGTTCGGGGGAGGAAGCCTCAAAGGCCATGAACTTGGTCTAGACAAGCTTCCGAAGAACATGGCAGCCACTAAAGAGAAAAATAAAAGGACGAAAGGACAGTGGGAGGACCGAGGAAGAAGTCACTAAGAAACTGTTAAAAACAATAATAATATGAAGTGATATGAAAAAATAGCAAATAAAGTTTCAAAACATATAATAGAGAACTGAAAGGCATAAAGATGTCTCAATATCTATTTATATGCTGTATGTGAGGCCCCTAGAACCATAGGAAATGCAGAACATTCACTGTTCATAACGCGTTCTCCAATCGCCCCCTTAAACATCACATTGCCCCCCTGTGGGGCGTGTGCCCCACGCTGGGAACCACTGGTGTAACCAATACGCCATGTACCTGACACGGATGCAGAGTAATGTGCATGTAAACTGTAATCAAAAGGATACTTTTCAGAAATTGATTAGTAAAACGCACACAAGTGAGAGACGTGCTTCTAAGCCCTGCACGTAGTCAGGTTAAGTTAGGTCATCTCACACCCTCCGTTAGCTCATCGTTCCTGTTCCATGTTTCCCTTCCCGGTCAACGGCCCCACAAATGACTCAGGTTAAGGTAGAGTTTTGTTTCCGAATCACAGGGTTGGGACGTCCTGGTTTCACTGTGGCTGCTGCCCTTCCTCCATGTCCGGCTCGTTTGCAATCCCTGGAACATCTGCGAGTCCTTCTGAGCGGCAGAGAAAATAACTCACAGGTCTCACCACTGAAAGGAATGGTCGTGACTGTCTAGTCCCGTGGTTCTCAACCTTCTGGCCCTTTAAATACAGTTCCTCATGTTGTGACCCAACCATAAAATTATTTTCGTTGCTACTTCATCACTGTCATGTTGCTACTGTTATGAATCGTCATGTAAATATCTGATCTGCAGGATGGGCTTAGGCGACCCCTGTGAAAGGGCCGTTCGACCGCCAAAGGGGTCGCCACCCACAGGTTGAGAACCGCTGGTCTAGTGTAATCTTCGTGAGCAGAGAATGTCGGCAATAATGTCTTCGTCACTACAATCAGGAAGACTTTACTGACAGGTTTCTAAATTAGTGTCGTGCGTTTGCTAAGCAATTATGCATCTAGTCAATGATCCTGTCAAAATGTCAGTCACCTCCTGTCCAGCCATTACTGCAGACTATTTACGCTCGTCCATGAGCAAGTCCTGGTTAACCCGCACGGCCAGCGCCTATGGAGGTGGGTGAGGAACAAACCAGCTCCTGAGGCTGGAGAGGCCCCCGTGGGTCCCTGTGTATCGTTCCTATCGCCCCTTCAGGGACCGGCGGGGGTAGAACACCGTGACGGACAGACGGACGGACGGAGGGAACCTGTAACAGTTTCCACACAGCGTATCTCACGGCTGAAACGATAACGTGGTGCGGCCACTTCAGACCAAGGCAGCTGCTCACAGCGACGCGCTGGGCCGTCAGGGGCCGCGGCCAGCCCACCCCGGGGCGCAGCACAGGTCAGCTGGAAGCATGGGTCCACACGACCCAGCACATGGTGAGTGTCTGTAGCAGCAGCATCCCCAGCAGCCCACAGTGCACACACGTCAAATGTCCGTCGCAGATGAAATGGATTAATAAAGTCTGGTCCGTCCGCACACGGAATATTGTTCAGAATAAGCAGGGATGAAGGACGATGCAGGGTGCGTGGTTGAACCTGGCAAACATCGTGCCCCATAAAGAAGCCATTCTCACAGGGCACGGAGGGTCTGACGGCATCTGGGTGTCCCGGACAGGAGCCCACGGGGCCCAGGGCAGTGAGCGCAGCCAGGGGCCGGCGGGAGGTGGGGAGTTGCCGGCTGCTCAAGGGTCCAAGAGTCCTTCCCCTCCCCTCCCCTCCTCTTCCCCTCCTCTTTTCCGGGAGGACAAAGCCCTACCATGGGAGGGTGCTGTGCACCTGGAGACACTTTAATCATAGAACCGGTCCACCCGACGTCACAACGACGCAGCGATTCTCTCACATTCCAAGTCTGCCCTTTAAACACCGTGTTTCCTGGCCAAGTGGTTCTCCTTTGAATAAGATAAAATGCTCTCTCTGGAGCAAAGCGACCTTCACTAATTGCAAATCTAGAGGCAGAGCCGATTGCTGTTTCATGGTGGACATTAAACACTCCTGTCAAACAGCTCAGGGACCAGTTCCAAGTAGAAGAACGTCTATATCTCACTCCCATGTGCTCCCGTTACAGACACAAAACTGCGTGTAAAAAACTCACACTATTTACTGAAAAAGCATGCGCTCATTTTGTGCTACTATATGTGTAATTATATAAAAATATTCACATGCAAAAAGCCTAGAAATAAAAGCGGATTCAGGAATTGTGTAAAGATGTAAGAAGGCTTAGTAATTTTTTTAAAAAGCTTTCAATAAAATTGCCCTTTTTTTCCCAACAGAAAAGGGAAAAAATGCCAATCACAGTAAAAGCAGGCTTTTCTCCCGATGTTGGTGAATAGGCCAGAAGTAATTAT